GTCCTAACTCTTTACCCTCCCAGAGCCAACTGCCCGAAGCCACACCCACCCCAAAAGTCCAAAGCTCCCCGAAACGACTTCCACCCCCAAACGTCCACGGTTGTCACACACTGGGAAGAAGGGGGAAACCGAGGCAGGAGAGACTGCCCCCTCTGAGGACCCGGGAGCCCCGCCCGCAGTGGGTGGGGTCGGCACAGAATGGGTTAAGCTCGCGGGGGAAGTTTGGGGCTCCAGGCCCAGGGGCGGATCTTCGGGCTTCCTCCCTCCTGGTCCAGGGGTGCAACTGCTGTGGAGGTGGCTGATGCAGGTGAGGAACTTACAGCCCTCTGAGTGGGACTTGGTGTGAGGGGAGGGGGCTGCCTGTTACTGACCAGTGTGGGACTGGCCTCAAGCTCAGGAGGCCTTCCTGGGGAGGAGGTAAAGGGGAGCCAGGGCATCCCCTCTGGAGCAGGTGAGTAGAAGGGTAGGGCCCAGCGGCCACCTGCCATTAGAATTCCCCCAGCATAGACCCTCCTGCCAGCAGAGCCTGGGGTAGGATGGGCAGACATTGGACTTTGGGGGCAAGAGGTCTGAGCCCCCAGCCTGGTGGCCGTTGGACACCCCTGTGGATGTAGGAAGGAAGCTGTGGTTCTTATCTATGGTGGCTACGAAACTCAGGCCAGTGGGGAACCAGGTCTGTAGGAGCCACATTGCTATGTGCGCCTGGCCCCTTGCTACAGCTGCTGGGGCCCTTTCTGAGGGGACAGTGGGTCCTTGCCCAGTTAAAGTGCCCTGAACTGGGCAGTTTGGGGGAGGGGGCCATGAACTCTGTGTCCCAGGCAGGGAAGGCAATCCAGGCAGGGGAAAATTGAGCCTGATGGGTGGGTGAATGGTGTCCCAGGATCTGTTAGGTAGTAGGCACGACCCAGGTGGTCAAAAAGGCTGGGACCTGGAGTAGAGAGAGAAGGGTGGGACAGCAGAGTTTCTGGGGGTAGCTGTGTTTCCTCCAAAGGGAATGCAGGGGTTAAGCAGGGGGTTGTGGTGTCTAGTTTGCATCTTCTGTCCACTGGCCAGCCAGTTGCCATGGTATAGGGCTGGATCCACTGTCCTGGGGAGGACAAAGCTGAAGCCAGAGCAGGCTGAGGCCAGGACTCTTTTGAGTTCTGCCCCAGCCTTTAACCCTCAGTCTCTGTCCAGTGTAAGGCAGGGCATCCTGGGCCCATCCACTCTGCTCTCCACCTGAGTCAGCTCCCCCAGGTATAGGGGATGGGATCCTCCAGCTCACCGGTGCCATCAAATGAATATGGGGGCAGGGTGCAGCCCACCAGTATGAGGATGTGTGGCCCTCCCTAGCACTCTGTCAGCCACTCTTTGCCCCAACCCCATCCTCCCTTCTGGCACAGCCCAGCATGGCTGTTGTCCACAGGATGCTCTCTTGTGGTCTGAGGCGATAACACTGCTTGGAGACTGTGGCGTAACCCCTTGCCTGGGACTGAGCTACCTGCAACCCAGCAGGAGATAACCTTGGTTCCTAGCCTGACTCAGCTGAGCCTGGATCCTCCATGTAGGCAAGAGCTGACTCAGCCCTGGCCCAGCCAAGCTGACCCCTACCCTAGACCCTACATACCAGGTGGAGCTGATCCTGAGTACCAGCCCACCCCAACTAACTCTGGATCCTGCATGCCAGCCAGAGGTGACCCTGAGATCCAACCTGGCCAAGCTGACGCTGGATCCTGCACGCCAGCCAGAGGAGACCCCAGCCCCCAACCTGGCTGAGCTGACCCTGGAGCCTGTGCACTGCCGACCTGAGCTCCTGGATGCCTGTGCCGACCTCATCAATGAGCAGTGGCCCCGCAGCCGTGCCTCGCGCCTGCACTCCCTGGGCCAGTCCTCAGACGCCTTCCCCCTCTGCTTGATGCTGCTGAGCCCCTGTCCCACGCCCGAGGCAGCCCCCATTGTGGTGGGCCATGCCCGCCTGTCACGGGTGCTGGACCGGCCCCAGAGCCTCCTAGTGGAGACAGTGGTGGTGGCCCGGGCCCTGAGGGGCCGTGGCTTTGGCCGCCGCCTCATGGAGGGCCTGGAGGCCTTTGCTCACGCCCGGGGCTTCCGCCGGCTACACCTCACCACCCATGACCAGCTACACTTTTATGCCCACCTGGGCTACCAGCTGGGTGAGCCTGTGCAGGGCCTGGTCTTCACCAGCCGGCGGCTGCCCACCACCCTGCTCAATGCCTTCCCCAGGGTTCCCTTTCCCCGGCCACCTGTCAAGGCCACTAGCCTGAGTGCCCAAGCTGCCCCAAGAGCCCCAAAGGAGCCATCATTGCCACCACCCCCTCCCCTGCCTGAGCCCTTGACCACCTTACCCCGACCTCCAGCAGGGCCCCCTCCACAAAGCCTGCTGGAAACACAATACCACGACCTGAGAGGATGCCCTGTGTTCTGGATGGAAAAAGACATCTGAGGACTACCCAGTGCAAGACACTGTCTTTCCGGGTCAGTTGACTGCCCAGGACAGTACCAGCCTCAGCCCACTGGCCATCCTCAGCTTCTAGGTTCTGGGGGCAGCTTTGGCCTGGGCACATTTCCCAAGTGCCAGTGGGGCCAGGAGATGGCTCCATGGCTGTAGCTCAGAGCTCTCAGTGTGGCTGAATAAAGGCTTCTCTTGGGTGTGGCTGTGACAGTGTATTTGTTGACCCTCACCCCCACCTCCCAGCCTTGTCTTAGGTCCCCTATGCCTGCAGGAGCCCCCAGATCCACCTTGGCCTTAGGGCCATGGATGGAGGGACATCTTCCCTTTCCTCCCCTCACTCTACCAGGCCCAGGGGACAGGGTTTCTGTTTCCTTCCACATTCACTCACTCATCATTATTTACTGAGCACCTGCTGTGTGTCAGGCCCTGGATTGGGCACAGGCTATGGGGAACTGGACAGACAGGCTCTGGACCCAAGGGACAGGGCAGGCATACAGTGGCAGGATCCATGCTGAGTCAGTGGGAGCTCAAGTGCCCTCATTCCACTTGGAGATCAGACCTAGGTGATGGCACAGCAGAGATCTGAGTGCTGAGTAGGAATTAAGCCAGGCAGGGTCGGGGCTGAGTGTTCTTGGGGCAGGAAACAAGATGGGCAGAGGAAAGAGGGGACTTGTGAGAGCTGTGGATGGGGGAGATGTCAGAGGGCACAGTGTTGTCATGACAGAAATGGACAACATGGAAGGGTACCTACCCAGGTCATCTTGAGCTGTGAGAAGCCCATGTGACCCCCTTGGGAACCATGCTCTTCCCACCTTCCTTCCTTGTGGGGAGGAGCTGGAGAAATCTTCCCACTTTCTCTGCTGAGCAGAAGGTATGGCCATGGCCATGGACTCTAAACTCACACTCCCTTTCTCCTGCAGGTTTCCATCCCTGGGGCATGACCATGCAGCTAGGCCCGGCCCTGGTGCTAGGGGTGGCCCTGTGCTTGGGGTGTGGCCAGCCCCAGCTGCAGGCCCCTGAACACCCCTTCTTGGTGCTGTGGAATGTACCCTCAGCACGCTGTAAGGCCCGCTTTGGTGTGCACCTGCCACTGGAGGCCTTGGGCATCACAGCCAACCGTGGTCAGCATTTCCATGGCCAGAATATCACCATCTTCTACAAGAATCAACTCGGCCTCTATCCCTACCTTGGGCCCAGGGGCACAGCTCACAATGGGGGCATCCCCCAGGCTGTGCCCCTTGACCGCCACCTGGCACAGGCTGCCAACCAGATCCGCCACAGCCTACTACCCGGCTTCGCTGGCCTGGCAGTGCTGGACTGGGAGGAATGGTGTCCACTCTGGGCCGGGAACTGGGGCCGCCGCCACGCCTATCAGGCAGTCTCCTGGGCTTGGGCACAGCAGGTATTCCCCAACCTGGACCCCCAGGAGCAGCTCTACAAGGCCCGTACTGGCTTTGAACAGGCAGCCCGTGCACTGATGGAGGACACATTGCGGCTAGGCCGAGCACTGCAGCCTCACGGGCTCTGGGGCTTCTATCGCTACCCAGCCTGTGGCAATGGCTGGCGCGGTCAGGCTTCCAATTACACAGGCCACTGCCATGCAGCTGCCCTGGCCCGCAACACCCAACTCTATTGGCTCTGGGCTGCCTCCAGCGCCCTCTTCCCCAGCATCTACCTACCACCCCGGCTACCACCTGCCCATCACCAGGCATTTGTCCGATACCGCCTGGAGGAGGCTTTCCGTGTGGCCTTCACTGGACACCTACATCCCCTGCCTGTCCTGGCCTATGCCCGCCTCACACACCGGAGCTCTGGGAGGTTCCTGTCCCAGGTGAGTGAAAGCTGAAGTCTAGGGGTCTGAGTGGGGAGGCATGACATTCTCTGAGTGAAGGGCCTGGAAGCCACTTAGAGGCTCAAGGTCAAGGGGCCCTGCTCTAGAGGTGGAACCAGATCATGGTAGTGAGCCACAGAAGTTCTGGAAGGTGGAGGTAGGCCCAGGTGGATCTAGCCAGCCCAGCCCTGGCTTAGCAGCTCTCTGCCTCCAGGATGAACTCATGCAGACCATTGGTGTGAGCGCTGCACTGGGGGCAGCCGGCGTGGTGCTCTGGGGGGACCTGAGTTTCTCCAGCTCTGAGGTGATCATTGCCCCCTCCAGCCTACCACACATCCCATGCTGGGGTCCCATTATTGGGGAAAGCCCATGTCAGGGCCATGGAGCAGGAGCATTGATACATCCCTCCCCTCTCCTCAGGAGGAGTGCTGGCATCTCCATGACTACCTAGTGGGCACCCTGGGCCCCTATGTGATCAACGTGACCAGGGCAGCCATGGTCTGCAGTCACCAGCGGTGCCATGGCCATGGCCGTTGTGCCTGGCAAGACCCAGGACAGCTGGAAGCCTTTCTGCATCTGCAGCCAGATGGCAGCCCTGGAGCTTGGGAGTCCTTCAGCTGCCGCTGTTACTGGGGCTGGGCTGGCCCTACCTGCCAGGAGCCCAGGCCTGACCTTGGACCTGAAGAAGCAACATAAAGCCAGGGGTCACCTGCCCCTGACCTCCTTGTCCCTGCTGCTATTTTTCCAGTCCTGGGGTGGTGGCTCTGTCACACTCTTGTTCTATTTTGCTTACAGTCAGTTCTCCTGTGCACATATCCCACTTCCCATGGGATCCCTGGGAAGAGGAAGAGGCCAGAAGAAACGTACCAGTTTAAAACCAGAGGCCCTCTGAGATCACCTGATCCCTCCTGACAAGGAAGCAGCCCCAGGAAGTCAGTGTTCCTTAAGTTTAGGGCTGCCAGCCCAGGGATCTATTCTACATCTCACTGAGAACATGGAGAGATCACAGGAAACCCTCCATGGGCAGGGGGGTGGGGAGGCTAGAGGGGAGTGGAGTGGGGTGGGCCAGGGAGATCTTGGCTAAGATCTGTAGGTGCTAAGCTGTTGTCTGTACTGTTTTCATCATAAAGGTACTTCTTTCACTGCCTAAGGTTGAGCTGTTCCCCGATTCTACTGAAACCCACCCTCCCCTCGTCATCGCTAGCAGCCCGCTGCAAGAGCCCAGAGATGCCGGTCCTGCGTGGTGGGCAGCTCCAAGGGGACAGCTTCAGAGTTAACCACTACACGTGTTGGGGGCCGCAGGGCATTGTGGGTGCATAGTTCAGCTAAAGCGTCGTGGGCTTATAGGTCCCGGGAGTAGACTACAATTCCCGAGGTGCCCTGCGCCCAGCCGGCCGGCGGTAATCTCGGCGCGCAGCACTCTGGGAATGGTAGTTTCGGCAACGTGAAGGGGGGTCTGAGTCTAGCAGCCAGGAACTCGTCTTCCCGGCCACCCGTTCAGTAGGGCGGGGCGCTTCAACCTGTTTGGCAGGGCGGGGCGCCTCGCGAAGATGGTGGCGCGCGCGGCGTGTGGCTCCCGTCGTCTGCCGAAGTCTCAATTCAGCACACTGGCCGGCGACTCGCTGGTCTGGAGCCCCCGCCCGCCAGGTGCCTGACCCCGCGCCCCTCGACGCCGGATTCCCGACATGCCCCGCGCCCGAAAGGGCAGTGCACCCCGCAGAGGCCAGCGCCGCGGAGGAGGTAAGTGGGGGACGCGGCGCAAGTGAGGAACGGCGAGTAGGGGTCCTGATTGGGTTCCCGTCTGTGTCCCCGAGGGTCCTGGGGTGAGGACTCTTGCCTCATCCAGTCTGGTGCGGCGTCCCGCAACTCCCCCGTGGCCCGCACGTGCGCCAGGAATCAGCGGCCACGTGTGTGCTCAGCTTGAGCGCGTTGCCTGCCTGCCTGGAGCCCTATCTCCCGGCCCTAAACCGGTGTGCACCTCCCGGCCTTAGTTGCTTCATCGTTCCGCCACACCGCTCGTCTACTGTGGTGGACGTACCGGCCAGGCAGAGCAGGAAGCCAGCCCTTTCTCCAAGCCCTGATCTTTCCTGGACTAGACTAGGAAGTTGGCCGGAGGGTGGCTTTTCCCGGAGCACCAAGACAGGGAGTGATGGGGAAGCTGCAAAATTTGGGTCTTGGCTGCTTGGCTCTGGAAGGTAGATGAGTGCCCTGGAGCCTGAGGCAACCCTGGAGTCGCTTATCAGTTCAACCAGGAGGAGCATGTTGTGGTGCAGTAAAGATACATGTTTGCTTTGCAGGGATGGGGTGCCTATTAGACACACCTCAGACATGGTCACCACTTTAATGGGGCTTGTGAGGGTGTTACCGAACCAAATTTGGGTCTGTCCGCGTGCAGTAAAGCCAATCTACTGACACTGGGTTGTAGTATAGGAAAAAGCAGCGTTTATTGTAAGGTGCTACAGGGAGAACACGTGGCTCGTGTTCAGAAACCCAGAACTCCCCAAAAAGTTTCAGTGAAACATTTTTAAAGGCAAGATGAGGGAGAGGCATGCCAGGGTATGTAAAAAACTGCACAGTTATCTGATTGCTTGATGGTGAGGTAACAGGGCGGTTGTCATGGGGATTTCACTTTATCAATCCTCAGGTGCCAGTAGGTCTGGAGGCTACGGTGCTCATGATCATCAATTAGTTAACTTCGTCCATTTGGTGGTGGTTTTAGCATCTTAAAACAATTAAGGCAATGTTAATCAAATACCATTATCTAGGTACTTAAAAGAGAAGCTACAGCAGAGGATATGGGGGAGGGGTCTGTCCCAGGAAGGCCTCATAGGGTCCTGCTCCGTTACAAGGGGACATTGAAGAGGGTGGCAACGCTCCAGAAGGACTAGTGCTGGGGGACAAGTTCACTGAGTGGTGACAGCCCCAGACAGGAACCAAGGAAGAGGGGTTCTTGGGTGAGTCCTGAGAAGGTTAAGAGGAGAGCGCCATATAGAGGCCACAAGCTGGGCAAGGGCCTGACATCTGGAGGGGCCATGGCACAGTGGACCAGATGAGGGAAAGTTGGGCCTCTTTGGTTTGTAGGGTAGTGAGAGAGGAGGTGAGCAGAGGCCAGTGTGTGTGTGCGCTGGACTTTGTCTGGCAGGCACAGGGAGTATGTACATAGTTCCTGGAAGTAGGGCCAGCCTGGTGACCAGAACATGTCTGGAGCTCCACTACAGTAGCTGCCCTTGCCAAAGTCAGTCCCTGACCCTGGGCAGAGCCCACTCACATAAGTGGTCCAGCTCTGCTGACCCTGAAATTGCCCTGTGTTCACCTGTTTTCAGGGGCTCATGCAGTCAGGGGCCACTCAGCTCTCTGCACGTCCCAGGGTCAGAAGGAGCCTATGTGTCCATCCACCTGGGGCTGAAGGCCTGGGATGGACCAGGGGGCGCTCAGAAGCCAGTACGCTTGAAGCCTAGGGCACCCACCCGCATCTACTAGGATCTGGGCCTTTGCCGCCAGGGCTGGTGGGTGACCTGGTGAGCTTGTTGGTCCACAGAAGAGCCATTAGTAGTCACTTGTTTAGTCATTACCTTCACTTGCCCTGCCCCAAAGAGGTCTTTTTTGCAGATGGAGAAATTGAGGCTTTGAAGACTAGGAACCTGACCTGTTTACACTCCTGTTAGGGTGTGTAGCTGGGATTTGAACCCTGAGTCTGTTTGACTGTTTTAAGTCCCTGACTCTTGCCCTGGCCATCTTGGGGCATCCAAAGGCTCCTCCAGGATCTTCCTGGATACGCCCTCACCCTAGGCTGGGCTGCTGGCCTAGGTGGGGCCTATGCAGCCCCCTCTCCCTTGGCCCAGTATCCTAGGTATCCTCCTTAAAGCAGTCTGGTCAAGATGGCAGAGTAATAGGACAAAGGTCATATGGCAAGTATGCTACCTTAAAAAGTTGCATGTGAATTAATTTTAATTCACATGAAACTTTTCAAACCTTGAGGCTTCCTTATCTGATGATCTTCCATGTGTGGTATTTGACAACCAGGAGCAACCAGAGTCCTAGCTAAGTGATTTTAATTTCTGGGAGCAACAAGTACTGCTGTTGGTGGAATATTCATCCCTTAAATCCACCCTCCTGTTAAAAATCATTTCCACACTGTGTGTTCATAGTTCTGTATGGCATGTTCCATTTCATTTCATCGTTGACTTCTTGTGCCAGTGTTCAGTGACCGATTTCTTTGTAGCCGAGAACTTGATTATCAGCATCCTCTTTTATAGCTTCTTAAGTCTCTTAAAGAATAAAGTTGATTCATATGGACCTGCTAAAATGGTATTTTCTGGATGTAAGGTAAGGTGAGTATTTAAGATGAATGAAACTTTTGTGTCGGAGTTGGGTGAAGTGAGAAATTAACTCTTTAAATACTGCTTCTTTAAGAAGGCATTTTATGAAAAATTTTGTGTGTCTTTTGTTTTTAGCTTACTGTATTGTTTTCGAGTTTGTTGATAGAGAAAACCAGTATATAGTATTCCTCTTGCTGTCTTCCATTGGTAGTTTAAACACAGATTTATTCCCCCTCAGGTGATCGGTTTGCTGTGTTAGATTTTTGTTTTCTTTTAAAGTAACTCTTATTGAAGTATAAAATATATATAAAGTATACATAATGTGAACATTTTTACACATGTACACACCTAACCCCGATAAAACCACCACCTAGATAAAAAATTAGAACATTTATATAATTTCACTTTTAAAAAATAGACTTTATTTTTTAGAACAGTGTTAGGTTCGTAGCAAAATTGAATGGGAAGTACAGATTTCCCATATACCCGTTGCTCCCACCCATACATATCAGCATTCCACAGCAGAGGTACATTTGTTAACAGTTGGTGAACCTACATTGACACGTCATTACCACCCAAAGTCTGTAGTTTATGCTAGGGTTCACTCTTTGTGTTGTATGTTCTGAGTTTTGCCAAATGTATAATGGCTCCACCATTATAGTATCATACAGAATAGTTTCGCTGTCCTAAAAACCCTCTGTACTTCTATTCATCCCTTCCTCTTCCCCAGCCCCTAGCAATCACAAATCTTTTTACTGTTGCCATAGTTTTGCCTTTGCTAGATTGTCATGTAGTTAGAATCATACAGTATGTAGCCTTTTAGATTGGCTACTTTTACTAAGAAATACACATTTAAGGTCTTTTCCTGTCTTTACAGAGCTTGATAGCTCATTTCTTTTTACTGCTCAATAATATTACATTGTCTGCATATACCACAGTTTGTTTATCCATTCACTTATTGAAGGACATCTTGGTTACTTCAAAGTGTTGACAGTTATCAATAAAGCTACTATAAATCTCCATGTAATATGATTTTTAAAAATTAAAAAAATTTTTGTACAATTTATGTTTATTTATTTTGGGGGGCATAATTAGGTTTATTTATTTATTTTTTAATGGAGGTACTGGAGATTGAACCCAGGACCTTCTGCATGCTGAGCAAGTGGTCTGCCACTGAGCTATACCCTCCCCCTCTTAATATAATTTGTTTTTTATACAAACTGTATCTTGATGCTAGTGTTTTTCTAGAATGAAAGCTCACTCTTTTTCAAGAAGAGTAATATGGCATTTCATATTTGTCATGAATTCAGACAGATGTTTAGATTCAGAAACTGTTATAAAGTGGGCCAGATAAAGCTTTTCCTTTTTCTGCTTTAGCTTTCATCTGATTAACTTCTCTGTGCTTTAGTTTCCTCATCTTTTAAATGTAGACAACTTTTCCTTTCCTCCAAGCTTTGCACCCTGGCATGATACCTGGGAAATTGGGCTTTAAGTAGGTAATTATTTTACATGGGAAAGTGTAGGCTGTGCTGTGAATAAGCCTCATTGCTGTATTGGGGTCCTTACTGAAATACTGGCCCTGTGGGCTGCTGAATGTCTACATCTTAGCGTTCTTTGTAAAACTTCTTGATGGTAAACATCCTTATCAAGAATCTGATGGTGGTGTGGGAAGGGATAACTTGGGAGTTTGAGATTTGGAGATACTAATATATATAAAAATATATAAACAAGTTCATACTATATAGCACAGGGAACTATATTCAGTATCTTGTAATTTATGATGGAAAAGAATATGAAAACTACATGTATGTTTGTGTATGACTGAAGCATTATGCTGTACACCAGAAATTGACAACACACTATAAACTCACTGTACTTCAATGGAAATATATACATATAAAAAAAGAATATGAAAAGGAATATATATATACACATATATGTATAACTGAATCATGCTGTATGCCACAATTAACACAGCATTGTAAACTGACTATACTTGAATCAAATAAAAAATATAAACAATGCAAAAAAAATCTGAGGGTGGATAAGAAAAGACTTATATCATGAGTTACTTTTGGGTAAATGCACTTAGAGGTAAAAAAATCAAAAACACTTTCCTTTAAAATTTTATCTTTTCAAGTATAAGACTATATATAGTTAAGGTCATACCCATTGAACATAGCAGGTTACTTTTTATTTTAATGCCAGTGTGATCAATTGATTAACTGAAGTACAGTCAGTTACAATGTGTCAGTTTCTTGTGTACAGCACAATATCCAAGTCATGCGTATACATACGTACATTCACCTTCATATTCTATTTCATTAAATGTTATTATGACATACTGAATATAGTACACTGTGCTATAAACAAGAAACTTCCTTTTGTTTTTTTTAAATCTATTTTTATGTATAGTGCCTAACATTTGCAAATCTAAAACTCCCAAATTTATCCTTCCCATCCCCTTTGCCTGGTAACCATAAGATTGTTTACAGTGTCTGCGAGTCTGTTTCTGTTTTGTAGTTTAGTTCAATAGTGTCTTCTTTTATTCTTCTTTTAGATTCCACCTATGAGTGATGGCACATGGTGATTTCCTTCCCCTTTTCTGCCGTTTCACTTAGAATAACCATCCCTAGGTCCATTCACATTGCTGCAAATGGCATTATTTCACTCCTTTTTATGGCTGAGTGGTATTCCATGGTATAAATATACCATAGCTTGTTTATGGAGTCACTTGTCGAGGGACATTTCAGTTGCTGTCCTGTCTAGCCTATTGTATACAGTGCTGCTGTGAACATTGGGGTGCATGTATCTTTTGGAATTAGAGTTCCCTCTGGATGTACCGCTCAGATAAATGCCAATGCTTTGGACTACTGGATGATGTGTTAAGTCTGGTTTGTTTTTTGTTTTTTTTTTTTTTGAGGAGTCTTCATTCTCGTTTCCTTTACAGCTGCAGCAAACTACGTTCTCATCAACAGTGTAGGTGGGAGGGTTCCCTTTTCTGCACACCCTCTCCAGCATATGTCATTTGTAGACTTTCAAATGATGGCCATTCTGACTGGTGTGAGTTTTGATTTGCATTTATGGGGTTTTGATTTGCATTTATGGGGTTTTGATTTGCATTTCTCTAATAGTGATGTGAAACATCTTTTCATGTGCTTGTTGGCCATCTGTATGTCTTCTTTGGAGAGATGTCTATTTAGGTCTTTTGCACATTTTTTGATAGGGTTGCTTTTTTTTTTTAAGGTGTATGAGCTGTTTGTGTATTTCTGAAATTGGTTCCTTGTCAGTCACATCATTTGCAAAGATTTTCTCCCATTGTGTAGATTTTCTGTTCGTTTTGTTGATGGAATCCTTAGCTGTGGAAAAGCTTTGCAGTTTCATTAGATCCCATATGTTTATTTTTGCTTTTATTTCGATTACCGCGGGAGCTGGTCCCAAAAATATGTTGCTTGAGGGGGTTATCGCTCAAGTGGTAGGGGCATGCTTAGCATGCATGAGGTTCTGGGTTCAATCCCCAGTACCTCCATTAAAAATAAGTAAATAGGCAAATAAATAAATAAATAAATAAATAAATAAATAAATAATCAATCTTAATGATCTCTGCTGCCCCCCCAAAACAAAGAAACCAAATATATATATATTTCTGTGATTTATGTCCCAGAGTGCTCTGCCTGTGTTTTCCTTTCGATACTTTTTCAAGTATCTGGTCTTACATTCAAGTCTTTAGTCCATTTTGAGTTTCTTTTTTGTAGAATGTTCTGATTTCAGGCTGTCACAGGTAGCTGTCCAGTTTTCCCAGCACCGCTTAATCACCCTGCCCCTTTCCCTGGGAGGGGGGCTCGGGCTCTGGCCCCCCTCGTGGGCCCCTCTGTGTCGTGGGCTCCATGACTGGACCAGGTTCCTGGGCCCTTGGCGGGGCCCAGCCAGGCCCAGGTCCTCCTCGGCTCCTCACCCTTCCGCCTCTCCAGGTACTTCACCCAGGCCTCTGGTCTCCCATCTGCTCCCCTGCGCACCTCCAGTGGCCTCGTCCGTGGTTCCTGCTCATTCTGTCCACTTTCGCTTCCTGTAGCTAAGGCCAGTCCTAAATATTTAGGAGTTTTTTATGTCTTTCTGTTTTGATGCTTTCCTCGTTATGAACATTTCCTTCTTATTTCTAGTAATACTTACTGCTATGTGAATACTTCTCAATGCCCACCGTGTAAATTCTCAGGTGGGAATTTCCTTTGAGGAGTCATCGAGGTGCAGGGAGAAGCTGGGCTTCTGCTTGAACGGGGGTGCGTGTGTCCTTGGATCAGGAAGTGACATTTTCTGCAGTTTCTTCTCTACCTTAGAAGTCACTGAAACCCAAGTAAACATACTGGTTTCCAGATAAACATATTGTACTACTTTTAAAATTAGTTTCTGAATATTTCATTTTCTCCTCCACGTTAAGTTTATGGCAATTAATTTGAGGAACATATTTTACAACCACCACAAGGGAAAGTATTATTAATCCTGAAAGTAACATTCTGGTAAGAAAGAGTATGACATAGATTTATTTGAATTAGTTGTTTATCTTCATTGTTTCTTTTAACTAAAAATACATTTTAACTAAAGATACATTTTAAGTGGACAAAGTTACGGATTGATCACTGAAATATTTTTAAAAATCATATCTTGGGCTTTTATTTTTATTGAAGTATAGCTGATTCACAGTGTATTAATTTCTGGTATATAGCATGGTGATTCATTCATCCATATATATACCCATATTTTTTCATTATAGGTTATTACAAGGTATTGAATACCCTGTACTATATCATAGAACCTTGTTGTTTATCTGTTTTATACATAATAGTTAGAAGTTTGGGAGCATCAAATACAAATTTACCCCTCCCCAGTTATCTTTTTTATATTTTTCTCATTATACACATCCATGAATATTCTCTTAAATAATTTTGATAGAAATGTAAATGCCATTCTAAAATCTATTTTATTTCATGTACTTTAAATAGTTTATATTTTCACAACTTTTATTATTCTTTAAAATCTTATTTCATTGTACTTTAAATAGTTTATATTTTCACAACTTTTACTATTCTTTAAAATCTTTTTTATTTCATCAAGTTGACTTGTAACTTATGGCTTCCACAGAATAGAATCACATCCTGAGTTGATATCCCAATGTTTTCATTCACACAACATGCACATCTGGAAAAGCTGGTGTCCCAGAATGTCATTTCTCCTCAGAGTAGGTTGTCAGAATAGTCTTTGTGGTCGGCTAACTCTCCCACGTTAAAAGACTCCACCCTGACCTGGTCAGGTCCAGCTTACGTGACACCACCATCCCATCCCATTGTGGGAGGAGGTCACCCTCCTGTCCTCTGTAGCCTGCCATCCCTCCCCACAGCGTTCTTAGCCGCAAGGAGAGCAGCCAGGTGAGTCCCTCACTTCACTTCTGGGGAAGCTTTTTTTCTCATTTTCTCCTTCAAAACCTTTTTTTCCCCCTTTCCTTCTAGTTGCATATTCTCTGTCATCTTTCTCAGGCATTGTCTTCCTTGCTCTTTTTCTCAACATTTCCTAGTAACCCATGTCTGTTTTTATTCTCTCATATTTTTTTTGTCCTACTAAGTCTCTGTATTTTCCTCTTTTTTCAAAGGCCCTATACTCTCAAAACATTAGAAAGCATTCCACCTCTGTTATCTGACCTCTGTATTCTCACTGTCCTAGTCTTTCTGAGGGGCTATTCCATTGTGTACATATATACCACAGCTTCTTTATCCAGTCATCTGTCGATGGACATTAGGTCCTTTCCGTGTCTTGGCTATTTAAATAGTGCTGCTGTGAACGTTGGGGTGTGTCTTTTTGAATTATGTTTTTCTCTGGATATATGCCCAGGAGTGGGATTGCTGGATCATAAGGTAAGTCTATTCTGCCGATATTTTAAATGGGTTCTTTGTTTGCCTTTTAACTGAAGTAGAGTTGATTTAAAATGTTGTATTAGTTTGTGGTGTACAGCATGGATAGACTGGGAGGGCATGATGCTGAGGGAAATAAGTTAGACAGAGAAAGACAAATACTGTAAGATATTACTTACATGTGGAATCTAAAAAATATAACAAACTAGTGAATATATCAGAAAAGAAACAGACTCACAGATATAGAGAAGGAACTAGGGTTACCAGTGAGGAGGGGACACAGGGGCAAGATAGAGGTAGAGGATTTAGAAGTACAAACTATCAGGTATAAAATAAGCTACAAGGACGTATTATTGTAAAACATGGGGGAATATAGCCAATATTTGATACTAAGTATAAATGTAGTATAACCTTTTAAAATGGTGAATCACTAAATTGTGTATCTATTGTATAATGTATATCAACTATACTTCAATTTTAAAAATATGATATTATCAAGTAAACATATAAATAACCTCTTAAGAAAAAAAAAAGCAGGCTCTAGTCTCAGGGAGGCACTGCTCATCAAGCCTGCCAGGTCATCCTCATTTGGCCCTGATGCCTGACTCTCCCCAGAAGTAGACTTTGCTCCTTTTCTCCTGTTTCCTGGCTCAAGGTGCCCAGCATTAGCCTCTTTGCCTCCCACTTCAGCCTGGGGGGGGGCAGCATTCTGTCTTGTGGGGTCATGAGCCTGGGTGAGGTAACCCCAGCCATCACTCGTTAATGAAGGCAGGCCAAGTGTCCCGTTCCACCCTCCACAGGTGCCCGGAGCAATACTCAGGCTGAGTCAGGCTCCAGCGAGGATGAGGCAGCCAGTGAGGCCCGCAGCAACACCAGTGAATGCCCCAGCCTCGTTAGCACCACAGCAGAGGAAAGCCTTGGTGAGACTGGGTGGGCGTTTGGTCGGGACTCCGTGGGGGCTAAGCGGGCTAGGGCAGGAAGCAGGGATGACCAGCTGGCCTTGCAGGGGGGGATGCCGTGGATGAGCAGGGTCAGCAGGAAGACCTTGAGGAGAAGTTGAAGGAGTATGTGGACTGCCTCACAGACAAGAGGTACCCCCTGACTGCCAACCAGCCCTTTCCCCCATGTCCCTGCTCAGCCTATGCCAAATGTGACCTGGGTGGGGTTGGCCCACGAGACCTCCTTTATCCGTCAGTTTCAAGACCCGGCAGAGTGCTCTTGAGAGCCTGCGCCTGGCCCTGGCGGCCCACCTACTCCCCGACTTCGTGCTGGAGCGCCGCCTCACACTGGCCGATGCCTTGGAAAAGTGCCTCAAGAAAGGTTGGGCCTGGGGGTGCACAGGGGGCCTGAACTGGCTGGGTGCTGACCCCTGCTGCATGGACTGACTGGAAGGCATCCCTGCAGGGAAGGACGAGGAACAGGCCCTGGCTGCTGCCGTACTAGGCCTGCTGTGTGTGCAGCTGGGCCCTGGACCCAAGGGTGAGGAGTTATTCCACAGCCTGCAACCCCTGCTGGTCTCTGTGCTCAGTGATGGCACAGCTAGTCCTGCTGCCCGGCTCCACGTGAGTGTTCCATGCCCTGTGACACACTTCCTTTGCCTAATCCCTAAGCAGAGAGGTGGGTCCCACCGGCCTCCAGGTTCCCCTCCTCTGAAGGTGAGCCCCGTGGCTGGGAACTCAGGCTCACCCTCTGACCACGGCCTGGCTGTCTTCCCAACAGTGTGCTTCTGCTCTTGGCTTGGGCTGCTACGTGGCTGCTGGCGATATACAGGTAAGTAGCCTGCAGGTACAGGCAGTAGAGCACCAAGACCCGAGCTTGGCCCTGAGCCACTCCCCTGCCTCCCTGTGCCTCTAGGACTTGGTCTCTTGCCTCACCTGCTTGGAAGGTGTTTTCAGCCGTTTCTGTGGTGTGGGTGGCTCCACAGCCCCTGTGGTCCCTGTCAGCCTGCATGGCCTGCTCTGTGCTGCCCTGCAGGCCTGGGCATTGCTCCTCACCATCTGCCCCAGCACCCACATCCGCCACATCCTGGACAGGTAGGGGTGACTGCCCACTGGGAGTGGGAGGGGAAACGCAAAGAGACTTCCAACCCACACCTCAGCCTGTCCCTTCCCTAGGCAGCTGCCTCGGCTGCCCCAGCTATTGTCCAGTGAAAGCGTGAACCTGCGGATCGCTGCCGGCGAGACCATCGCACTGCTCTTTGAACTCACCCGGGACCTAGAGGTGCGAGAGATGCGAGGGGGTGTCAGGGTGGGGAGGGTGCCTGCTGTGACACCATCTGCCCATCTCAGGCTGGGTGCGGGGGATGCCACAGAAAACAAGGTCATTATGCAGGGCAAGTAGCCCTGACACAGGCTCAGATGCCAGGTGCTGAGATGGTGCCCCTGAGCAGGGGTGTCCAGCCCAGGCAGGGGCCAAGAAGGGATTCAGGGGGGCCAGGCAGACAAGAAAATGACTTCCTCAGTGAAAGGAGGCTCTGAACCATCCCCTTCCCCCCACCATGTGGAGAGCCGGTAGGGCTCAGGCTTCTGCTCACACAGCCTCCATTGCTCCCACTGCAGGGCTTTATTTACCAGGACATGGAAGCCCTCTGCGGTGCGCTGCGCACTCTGGCCACTGACAGCAACAAGTACCGAGCCAAGGCTGACCGCCGGCGTCAGCGCTCTACCTTCCGTGCGGTGCTGCGCTTTGTTGAGGTGCGTGTGAGGACCAGCGCGTCCTAGCGAGCATATCCCCGGGCCCAGCCGCCAAGGCCAGTCCCATGGGCTCCTCTATCCTGCAGGGCGGCGAGTGTGAGGAGGAGACAGTCCGTTTTGGGCTCGAGGTGCTCTATGTGGACAGCTGGGCTCGGCGCCGGATCTACGCCGCCTTCAAGGACGTGCTGGGTTCCGGCCTGCACCATCACCTCCAGGTGGGGAGGTGGACAGGGACAGGGCACCCAGCTCGGCTGCTTCAGACTGCACTGAGCTCACTGCCCTCACTGTTCTTTGCCCTCAGAACAATGAGCTACTCCGTGACATCTTTGGCCTGGGTCCTGTGCTGGTGCTGGATGCCACTGCCCTGAAGGCCTGCAAGATTTCACGTTTTGAGAAGGTCTGTACCCTTGGGCACCTTTGTCTTACCTCGGTTCCCGCCGCCTGGGGTTCTGCAGGGGGTGGAGAAGCCCTGGGCCGCCTCCTTCCTCTTCAACTCACTGGATCCTTGCCCCCACTCCAGCACCTGTACAATGCTGCTGCCTTCAAAGCTCGGACCAAGGCGCGCAGCCGTGTGCGGGACAAGCGGGCAGACATCCTGTGAGGTGGGACCAGCTCAAGAGGCGACTGTCCACATCCTTGCCCATATTTTTAACAGAAGACAGTGCAACCCCTGGATCTTGCCAGGAATTGTCGCTTCATTTTTTTAATGACAAAACCAAAAAACAGACATGGGGGTGGGTGGCTGGAGGCCAGGTTGCTTGGTATCCTGGCACTTTGCCCCTGCACTCTGCCCTGTGGCCTCTTCCTGCCCTGTCTCAGGGCTGTGGGGCAGGAAGAAAAGGGCTGTTTATTACTTTCTCAGGCCTTGCTGCCCTGGGATGAGCCACTTCCTGGGGGTGGGGGTGGTATTTGGACAGATGCCACTACAACAGGTGGGGAGGAATGGATTTATGTGCTAATTTTTAAAAGATTATTAGATATAATTAATTAAACAGAATGCTCAGCCTTCTGTGGCCCTGGCTTCTGGGTATTTCTACCTGTACGCCCTCCCTCTCCACCATCACAGGCTTGGGACCAGCTGGGCCTCCCCGTCTCACCTTTGCCCTCCAAGATAGTCTCTTCCCAGGTGGCCAGCCTGTCTTTTGAGAGCTGAGGCTGGACCCCCACTGGGAGGCCTGGCAAAGTTTAGGTGATGGGGGTAGGCAGCTATTTCTAGGCTTCTGAACCTGTTATCTGGGGGAGGCCAGAGGGTGCTGACAGGCCACAAGAGGAGCCAGGAGGCTGGTGTCGCTTCCTCTGACCTTGGGCCACCCAAAGTAGGGCCTTGGCACCAGAAGGCTTGACTAGGCCTAGCCTAGAAGCCAAGGCAGGCAGCTGTAGGGTCAGACCGGGCTCTTGTACAAAAACCTCACCAAGGAAGTAGCGTGAAGCAGCAGTGGGAGAGGAGAAACCTACGAACAGCCACTTTATTCCCCCCTGCCCGTGGCCCCAGGCCCCAGGCCCAAGTGGCATCTCAGCTGGGTGCTCGAGCCTCACTGGAGTTGAGCCTTCGCAGCTGGCTGAGGCTGGCTAGCCGGAGTTTGAGTAGCGTCTCCTCCTGTGTACGGAGTGTGTGCGCCAGCACACGTAGGGATTCACTCTGCAGCACTGTAGGACAGATAGGTGGGAATGGGGGTGATTATCAGACCACGTGCTAACCCACGACTCCCCGCCCACCCAGCCCTTCACTGCCTCAACCTCTTGGTCCCACTGGCTTCCTGCACCCTCCCTACCACTCAGGTAGACAGCCAGGACGGCGAGTGCCAGGCAGGTGAGCACCAGCAGCGCGAGCAGCAGCAGAAAGGCCCCTCGGCTGTGCACAGAGCTGCAGCTGGTCTGCGTGCACAGTGATGGCGGCAGGATGCCCAGCAGCTCATCCCATGGCTGCGCCTCCTCAGCCAGGTAGGGGCACAGTGAACCTGCAGGACAAATGGGGCATCAGGAGGAAGAGGGCGGTAGGCACATCTGCTTTCCTCCCTTCTCCCATTCACTGGTCCCACCCGCCCCAGCCCCCCTCACCTCCACTGTGTAGGTCACTGATAGAGTCCACCTGGTGCAGGCACACCTCCTGCACATGGTTGCTGGCCAGTGGTGCCCTGCTCCTTGGGCTGACTGTCGGTGCCACAGTGTCTACGGGGGCAGCGCAGGGCTGATTCAGCCAGCAGGTCATCTCCTCTCTTCTAGATGGCCTCCAGCAGCAGCAGGGGCTCAGAAAAGGTGGGGACAGGACAAAGGGGCATTTGGCTCCTAATCTCCTAAAACCAACTCAGGAAAGACCTTAGATTTGGAGCCAAGACGACCCCAGAGCCCCATAGGCCTGTTTCACCCACAGTAGCAGGAGGTGCAGCTGACTTGCTCAGGTTTGTTCCCTTCCAAACACCTTAAGGACTTTCAGGCATTCCTCTCTGCCTGTTCATTTCTAGAGAACAGTTTATCTGCCTTAGAGAACTAAACCCACAGCACATGAAACTCATTCCTGCCTCTTCTACTATCAGTTTTCCCTGCAGACCCTGTGCCTGGGGCCCTCTCATCCTCAGCAGAAGCAGCCCCACCTTTAATATACTCAGCATGATTTCTGCTGCCTGGGCATTTTGGTGGTTTCCAGTTCCCTTCTGAAATTAATAACCCCTATAAAAGGACATGCATCATTGAGTTTGACCGTTTTTCCCCCAATAGTTATTTAGGACAGGTTCCCAGAGTGGAATTACTAGATCAAAGAGCAGGGACTTTCAAGCTATCAAATTGTCCACCAGAATGGCTGTCCACAGCCCCCAAGAGAGTACAACATTGCCATCAGGCATCTCCACTCGGGGAAAAAAACGTATATACATAAGCGTACACAAGGATATTTGCTAAGTTTTAGGGAGATAAGGCCTTTTTGACCAATTTTTGTTAGATGCCTTTGCTTGGGGAGCCCGACAAGTATGTATGTGGCTTCCTAGGACAGCCTCTGCCCATTTAATCATTGCGGGTCTTTGTACTTCTCTTATTTTAATCACTTATTTCTTGGACCCACTGAAGTATTCTGTAGTTTCTAAACTTTTTTTCTTCTGATTTTTTTTTTAAATCCCAGCCCCTTATAATCTCCAGATACCTAGCTGGAAGCTAGATGACAAAGTAGGGGGCACTGAGGGGACACCTCCTGAGGGGGCAAGGGTGACTGGACTCTCTGGGTCTATCACTTTCAGAACAGTACCTCAACCTTCAGGATTTGCCTGACGCTGGCCCTTGACATGCTCAAAAGTAAGTAAAAACAGATGCTGTCATTCTGTTTGGGTGCTGGTGGGTTGAGGGTTGTATTAAATTCCCCATTTGCACGTGGCTGTGCTTTTCCCACGCTGTAAATTGAGCTTGGATTCTGTCTGTTACCGGGAAAAACATAGTAAGCAATTGTTAAGACATCCCTACCTCCGGGGCCAGGCCCCTCCCACCCAGTATCATGTGTTGAAAATGTAATGAGTGGGAATTGACTAGCTGAGCCAAGCTGAACCTTGGAACAGCTGGTCCTGCATCCTGGCCAGTATTGTACCTGAGGCTTCCTAGGTCCCTGCCCTGGCCCCTCTATGCCTCTGTACTTTTTGCATGCAGTGGGGGCAAATAGGAAAATGGCCACCAAAGACTTACCAGTCGGGCCAGACCTAGGGATCCCAACCTTTAGGGAGTTGGGGCCACTCAGGCCCAAGTTGGAGGCTAGAAGCCTATCCACTCCCAGTCCCTGGACAGTGTGCCCAAGTGCTTTCCAAAACCACTGCCTACCCACAATCCCAGTGTCCTCCCTGAAGGAGGAACTGAACTGGTCAGCCTGCCTGCCTGACACTCACTTGGGCACAGACTGTAGTTCACTCCCCTCCAACTGGGAAGCTCCCCCAGCCCCTCCTGCTGTCCCCAGCAATAGGAACAGGCCTGAGGTGAGGAGGTGTTCCAGGCATGGGGGGCCCTTCCTCCACACACAGGAAACAGGTCCATTTACTTGAGATGGGACACGGGAACTGGGACACGGGAACTAATGACTAGTCAGTCAAGGAAGTGAAGTCAGTGGGGCAGGGGCCAGGTTTCTCCGTGATCCACAGAATTGGGGCCTTACCCTCCCTCACAGGCATTACCTACCTTCTTGGGTCTCCTCGGGCATGGCGAATGGTGGGCAAGCAGGGGGCCGATGACAGAGCCCAGTTGCAGGACTGGATGGAGGCAGCAGTGGCTCCTCTGAGAGCCTGGGGAAGGCCTGGCCACCTCCCAGCCTGGGCTGAAAATAGGCCTGAGCTCAGCCCACTGTGCTATATTTAGAGGGGCCAACTCTCAGCCATGAGAAGGGGCAGAGTGACCCACATGGACCCACCTAGACCTGGTGATGGGGCCCAGGGTGTTTCCCAGGGAGCCCTGCCACTCATATATGCAGGGACTTGGTGTCTGCATCCAGACCAGCCTCAGGCTCACCTCCAGCAACATTCCACAGGGCAGCCAAGACAAAGGAGGCCTGTGCGTCTCCACTCCTCCACCCCCGGAGACCCCTACCCACACAGCTGGGTCATCTCTCCTCCAAGCAGATGTGGGACGGGCACCCACCACCGTGTGATCTGCTGCATCAGGTGTGACAGACAACTATAGAGTCCAGTGCCACGAAGGCTCTGAGAGCCCCAAAATGGGGAAAAAAGACACTCCCAATGCATGCAGGCACCCAGGCTGGTCGATGGAGGAACACAGGTTGAAGGCTGGTACTTCTGTTACTAAGCTTACAACTTTTGCCCCCTTTCAGACCTCAGTTTTCTCATCTGTAGAATAGGAAAAGCAGTGGTTCCTCCCGGCACACCGCATGAGACTGGAAATACAACCATGTACAGGTCACACGAGGATGCATGGCACCACTCACCCTTGAGAGGGGAGTGGTCCAGCTTCAGGCCCACTCTCTGCTGTTGGACCCCTTTGCCCCTTTCCCCCCAATAGAACAAAACAAGACAGTAGGCTCTACCTCTTAAACATCCTAAATCCACCCCTCCACTGTATCACACTGGCCTCCTTGATACTCCTCAAACTCGGCAAGCTTGTTCCTACCTGGAATGCTCTGCCCTAGAGGTTCCCATGGCTGCCTCCTTTGTCATTTAGCTCAAATGTCACCCCCTCAGTGAGGCCGCCCGCTCACATTCTTTTCCACGTTACCCAATTTTATGTTGTTCATTGCATTTAGCCCAGAAATTGTATTATCCAGCATACACAGTTGACACTTGAATAAACAGAGGTTAGGGACCCCTGACCCTCTGCAGCAGAAAAATCCAGATAAAACTTTACAGTTCACCCACCTGTTTTGGCCACAGTTCCTCATCTGTGAATTCAACAAACCCGGGATCCTGCAGTACTGTAGTACTAGTTACTGGAAAAAATCCACATGTAAGTGGGCCCCGTACAGTTCAAACTGGGGTTGTTCAGGGGTCAACTGTACTTTGCACGTCAGTAGCCCTAAAGGCCCTACAGAATCCACTCAGTCACATGGAAACCACCTTAACCCTCACCACAGTACAGCATCCTTAAAAAAATTAAAAACTGAGGCTCTAAGACTTCTAGGAAGGTGTCTCACTAGCAAGATCTAGTGAGACAGGCTGGGACCTGGGACCCTTTGCTGCAGTGCTTACACCTGGACAAATGTCTCCTGGAGCAACACAGTCAAAGAAATTATAAGGGACTAAAAATTACTGCACACATGGTTGGAGCAAATTAATTAGATACAAAAAGACCAACAACTCAGCTGCTACTTCTGAAGTGTCTGGAACAAAAGCAGGGTGCTACCCATGATCCCTGTACACAGCACCACCAGCGGGGTGGGCAGACCCCCTACGACACCTCTCTGGCCCATGCATTCACCATTACCCTCATCCTACTGAAGGGACCAGCTCACCCCTCCTCAGGGAGCAAGTAAGGGCATCTTACTTGTTTCTGCTCCTTCCTGCTAGAGCATGAGTCCCAATAAAGCTTTACCTGAATTTATCGAGAGGCCTCATTTCAATTTCTATTGATTAAAAAGCCCAAGAACCCGGGTCAGCAACTTACCGTGTGGCAACTCCACTGGGACTCCTATGGGGCCTTTTGTCCCCTCCCCAGGAGCACCTCCAGGACCACTGAAGGCAGCTTCCCCCGGGGTGACAAGCAGCTGGCTGCCTGACCCTTTTGTTTCAGCATCACCACGTTTGCTTCCTGGCCCCTGAGGGCCTCAATACCGCCAATCAGGCAACACCTTTCCCCTCCCCACTCTCCCTTCCCTCTTTGTCCTCTTCCCTCTCCTGATACTACTCTACTTTCTCTGTTCTCTCCTCTGTCCTCCCGCGTTTCTCTGTCCTATCCTGAGAGAGTAGCCGTCGGGAACTACAGTATTACTCCTCTCAGTCTGCGAGACCAGGCTGCCTCTGGCCGGCAACAGCTCACCCTGGATGAGAGGGGGAAAAAAGCTTGCTTCATACCGTGCAGACCTCGGTCTCAAGATTTCTAAGAGTGATGGAGATTCAGCTCTTACATTGTATAGTGACTAAAAGATCATCACAATATTCTTACCTTCACTGTCCTGCCACTAAAGTCCTGTCAGAATGGGCTGAAGTGGCAGATTTCTTTATAAACCTGTCGGTTTAAGTCCCACAGATGGATGTATGAGTGGTGGGTACAAACCTCACCTGTGGGTTAGAATTCCACAGATATACAAATGGCTGGTTCCCAGCAAAAGTCACCCAGGCAAGCAGCAGGCAGGGTGCTCCATCACTGGCCCTTTCTGACAGCGTGCAGGCTGGTGCTTCAAGAGCCACCCACAGGGGTGAGGTGAAACAGCAATCTCTCTCCTTTTTTTTAGTCTTTTCTGTCCCTCCTCCCTTTACCTCTCCCTTGCATCTCAAACCTACACCCCTGTCCCTGTCCCTTTCATCCTGGAGACTCGTCGTCTGTGTCACTAACTCTGGGGAGGGAGCTCTGTGATCCCCTTTGTCATTACATTAAGTCTCAACTCCATTCAACCCCTGGGATCTCTAGTTGTCTGCCCCAAATTTATATGTGAACATGAAAAACAACCCTAAGGCCCCTCCTCTGGGTTGCATTCTGAACAACCAGGGATAATTTACATGGTTTAAAAAGGAATAAGCTGCTTTTCTTTTGCAATGCGGCCTGGCCCCAGTATACCATGGGTAACCAGGAGAAGTTGTGACATAATGAATACCTTCATTTTAACACTGTTTTAGAACTGGACCTATTTTGTAAACAGTCACCAAAATGGGGAGGACTCCCATATATAAGTACAGGCCTTTATAAAACTTTATGAAGACTCCAGTCTTAATAACTGAAAACTTCCCTAACTTGGGAAAGAAAACAGTCACTCAAGTCCAGGAAGTGCAGTTCCACACAGGATCAACCCAAAGAGGAAAACACCAAGGCACACAGTAATCAAACTGACAAACATTAAGAATGAGAAAATATTAAAATCAGCAAGAGAAAAACAACAAATAACGTACAAGGGAACTCCCATAAGGTTATCAGGTGATTTTTCAGCAGAAACTACAGGCCAGAAGGGAGTGGCACGATATATTTAGAGTGATGCAAGTGAAAAAACTTACAACCAGCAATACTCTATCCAGCAAGGCTCTCCTTCAGATTTGATGGAGAAAGCAAAAGCACAGATAAGCAAAAGCTAAAAGAATTTAGTACCACCAAACCAGCTTTATAACAAATGTTAAAGGAACTTCTCTAGTCATCAAACCACAAGAAAAAAATTTAAAAAAGAAGAGGAAAAAAAAGGCCTACAAAAGATTGCTTTGGCAATGCAGGGTCTTTTCAGGTTCCAAATAAATTTTGCAATAGTTTGTTCTAGTTCTATGACAAATGTCATATTACGACAGTGGTTGCGCTGGATCTGTAGATTGCTTTGGGTCATAATGGCCATACTGATACTGTTGATTCTTCCAATCCGAGAGCACAAAATATCTTTCCATTTCTTTCTATCATCTTCAGGTTCCTTCATCAATGTTTTACACTTTGCAGAATATAGGTAACACCTTTAGTTAACTTTACTTCTAGGTATTTTGTTGTTTTTGATGCAAGGAAAATGTTTACGCCAGTTATAAAATTCCGGTTTTTAAAGTGCAACAACAAAAAAAAATTGTGAATGAGCGACTGCAAATGGCAAAGTATCATTTTTATGTGAGTTGTATTCCACTGAGTGTATATGCTACATCTTTTTTACCCATTCATCTGCTGATGTGCACTTGGCATGCTTCCACGTCTTGGATATCATAAATAATATTGCTCTTATGACTGGGACATTGTGCTGTACACCAGAAATTGATGCATTCTAGTTGGCTGTACTTCAATTAAAAATTGATAATACTGCTATTCTTAATAGCAGGGTATAGGTATCCTTTTGAATTAATGTTTTTGTTTTTCTCCAGTGTTATGCCCAGGAAGAGATGTGCTGAACCATATCATGGTTCATTCTTCTTTGGTTTTTGAGAAGCCTCTATATTGCTTTCTATTGTGGCTGCACGGAATGTACATTCACACCAACAGTATACAAGTGTTCTCTTTTCTCCGCATCTTTGTGAACATCCCTAATTTGTGTTCTTTTTGATGCTAGCCGTTCTGAAAAGTGTGAGATACTGTATCATTGTGATTTTGATTTCCATTACCCTCATATTGGTGATGTTGAGCAGCTTTTCACGTTCCTGTGGGCCACGTATATTTCCTCTCTTGGAAAAATGTGTGTTCAGTTCTGCCCATATTTCAGATTGGTTGTTTGTTTTCTTTTCAAATGAAGCACAGTTAAAATGTTACGTTAGTTTCTACTGTAGAGCATGGATGGACGTAGAGGGCATTGTCTAAAGTGAAATAAGCCTGACAGAGAAAGACATACTGTCATATGTCACTTAAATATGGAATATACAGAAAATACAACAAACTAGTAAATATAACAAAAAATAAACACGCATAAATGTGGAGAAGGAACTGGTGGTTTCGGAGGGGGAGAGGCAAGACATGGAGGATGGAGAGGAACAAACTATCAGGTGTAAAATGAGCTACAAGGATGTACTGCACAACATGGGGAATATAGCCGCTATTTTCTACTACTGGTGAGTGAAGTATAACCTTTAAAAATGGTGAATCCCTATCGTGTATACCTGTAACAAACAATATTGTACACCAGCTATACTTGCATGTAAAAAATCAGGATATTCTAAAATGAATACATACATTAATGTTTGTAGAAGAGAAAAAAGTAGAAAACATTGTCCTTTGTGCATGGCTGTGGTCAGATGCTATAGAAAGCACTTTGGCAGTTCCTCCAAAAGTTAAACACTGAAAAAACATTGACTAAGGAAATTAAAGATGACCAAGAAATGGAAAGCTATCCCACGTTCTTGGATTGGAAGAGTTAACATTATTAAAATGACCATATGACCCCAAAGCTATCTACAGATTTCATGCGACCCCTCTCAAATTACCCAGGCCATTTTTCACAGAACTGGAACAACTAATCCTAAAATTTACATGGAATCACAAAAGACCCAGAATTGCCAAAGCAATACTGAAGAAAAAGAATGAAGCTGGGAGGAATAACCCTCCCAGGCTTCAGACAATACTACAGATCCCCACTAATCAAAACAGCATGGTACTAGTACAAGAACAGACACACGGATCAGTGGAACAGAACAGTGAGCCCAGAAACAAACCCATACACTTTTGGTCAATTAATCTTTGACACAGGAGGCAAGGACATACACTGGACTAAAGACAGTCCTTTCAGCAAATGGGTTTGAGGAAACTGGACAGCTGCATGTAAATGCATGAAGTTACAATACTCCCTCACACCATACCCAAAAATAAACTCAAAATGGCTTAAAGACTGACACCTAACACAAGACACTATAAACCTCTTAGAAGAAAATGTAAGCAAAACATTCTCTGACACAAATCTCAGCAATGTTCTCCTATGGCAGTCTACCCAGGCAGTAGAAAGAAAAGCAAAAATAAATGGGACCTAATTAGACTTACAAGCTTTCGCACAGCAAAGGAAACCGTAAGCAAAGCAAAAAGAAAACCTAAGGAATGAGAGAAAATATTTGCAAAAGATGAGACTGACAAGGGCTTAACATCCAGAATACAGAAACAGCTTGTACAATGTCATCCTAAAAAAAAGCAAACCAACAACCAATTCCAAGGCCGAGGACCCAGCAAGCAATTCGCCAAAGGAGACACACAAATGGCCAACAGGCACATGAAAAAAGCTCAATATCGCTGTCAGAGAAAGCCACATCAAAACCAGTCTGAATGGCCATCATTCAAAAGTCCACAAACGACAAATGGTGGAGAGGGTGTGGGGAGAAGGGAACCCTCCTACACTGCTCGGGGGAATGCAGCTTGGTGCAGCCCTTATGGAAAACAGTACAGAGATTCTTCAAAACACTACAAATAGCCTTACCGGATGATCCACCATTCGCACTCCTGGGCATATATCCAGAGGGAAGTCTAATTTGAAAAGATACATGCACCCCAACGCTCACAGCAGCACTATTTACAATAGCCAAGACGTGGAAACAACCGAAATGTCCAACAGATGACTAGATAAAGAAGTGGCGGCATATTTCTACAGTGGAATACAACTCAGCTGTAAAAAAGCACAAAATAATGCCGTTTGCAGCAGCATGGATGGACCTGGGGGCTGTCATTCTAAGCAAAGTAAGCCAGAAAGGGAAAGAAAAGTACCACATGATATCACTTATACGTGGAATCTAAAACAAAACACAAATGAACTTAACAAAGCAGAAACAGACTCACAAACACAGAAAACAAACTTATGGTTCCCAGGGGGGTAACAGGGTGGGAAGGGAAAAATTGGGAGTTTGAGATTTGCAGATACTAACTAATATGCATAAAGTAGATTAACAATAAGTGCATACTATAGAGCACAGGGAACTATACTCAATATCTTGTAGTAACTTACAGTGGAAAGGAATGTGAAAACGAGGGTATGTATGTTCATGTGTGACTGAAGCAGTATGCTGTATGCCAGAAATTGACACAGCATGGTCAACTGACTATACTTCAATACAAATATATGTAAATGCTAAAAAAAACACTGAATTAACCTATGACCCAGCAGTTCCACTCCTGGGTATATGTCCAAAAGAAGTAAACACAAGGATTCAAACAGATACCTGCACCCCCACAGTTCCACAGCAGCATTACTGACACTAGCCAAAAGGTGGAAGCAGTCCAGGTGTCCACCAACGGATGAGTGGACAAAATATGGTGTATGCGCACAATGGAATATGATTCGGCCATGAAAAAGAATGAACTTCTGACCCACGCTACAACATGCATGAACCTCCAAAACATTATGCCAGGTGAAATCGGGCAGATAAAAAAGGACAGATACCGTAAGATTCCACTTCCATGATGGCGGCATGGTTAACATCAGGTATCCAGGAAGAGGCACATTCATGCAGAAAGGAAGTAGAATCAAAGTTACCAGAGCCGGGGGGACGGGAGTAGATTACTGCTCAATGAGTACAGAGTTTCTCTTTTGCATGTTGGAAAACTTGTGGAAATAAATATTGGTGATAGCTGTACATCACTGTGAATGTACTTCATGCTGCTGAACCATACACTTCCAATGTTTAAAAGGTTAACTTCCATATTATGGATATTTTACCAAATAAAAAATGCAAGTATGAAACTTTTTTTTAAATAAAGTAAGCCCCAAGTATGTACTGTACAACATGGGGAATATAGTCAACATTTTATAACTATAAATGGAGTATAACCTTTAATAATTGTGAATCACTATGTTGAATACCTCTAATATATATTACTGTACATTAACTATACTTCAATTTAAAAAATATTATAAAATACATATATAAATTTACAAAAAAGCAAAAAAAAAAAAAAGGGATTTTTATTCTAACAGGACCACTCCAGCTCACCACCGAACCTGGAAAGCACTAGGAATGATCTTATCTGGGCAGGGCTGGCCACAGGACTGGCAGCTCCAAGGGGGAGATTTACATACCATGAAGCAACACAGAAATCTCACCAGACAGCTTGGTTATAGGATGGAGCAGACAGGGCAAGCCTTAATGGAACTTAAGACCTCTCTTTTTTTCTTTGGCTAACATAGTTTTGGATGATTGTCTAGCTCTTGATTTGCTTCTGGCAGAAATATTGCATAATTTGTGAGATAACTAATTACTTCCTGCTACACCTGAAGCAATGCAACAGGACAGACAGAGTTAATATTAAAGAAATACACCCCCAAGAGGAATGGCTTCACAATTTTGGCAGGAGCAATATCGCCTCCACTGTCTGGTCAACAGGGAAGCCCTCCCAGAGTAGCCTGGTTCCTTCCCTTTCTGTGCCCTTTAGTTGCTATTACTGTTCTTCTCCTTTTTGGCCCTTATCTGTTTAAACGTTTGGTTAAGTTTGTGTCTTCCAGGCTCCAACAGCTGCAAGTAACTCTCACAATGGTGTTGCCAGAGCTGCTCCAGGTCCTTGCTCACAACCCTCCAACCCCATTTTTAGCAGCGGTGTCCCTGCTCAACACCTGCCAACACCCCCTTCCTTTAGCAGCAGTGAACATCATCTTTAAATTAAAGGATCCAGTGACAAGAAAGGAAGCTACACACACACCCCCGCCCCCAGATGGAACCAACTGGGACCAAGATGTCAATGAATCTGACCTCCAAAAGACTGAGTCTCATTACATGATTTCACTATATATTCGCATATTAAATGACACCCCTACTGGCGGCCAGGACTGGATGTTAAGGACCAAAAAAGGACAAAACGGGGTTGCACCCCACTTGCTGGAAAAAGCCCTGCCCCTTCCCCAGGAAACTTAATTCATACGCCTCCCCATCATTAGCCTCAGTCCTCCATTTGTCTTTACTCTTTAAATTAAATCACTCTGCCAGGTGGGCGAGAAGTTGATCTGTGAACTTAGTTTCCGCTTCTCCATTCTTTAGCCACTGAATAAAGCTTGTGATGTGCTGATCTCACCTTCGGTTTCAAACCCCAACAAAGAACCTTCCCCATCTGAGGCAGAGAGCCCTGGCCAGGCTAGGGCCCAAGCAGGGTTCATACGACTTAATTCAGTAACAATAGCTCAAGGACATCAACCCATTCCAGTGGAGGGTATAGCCCATGCCTCTACAGGTCCTTAAAACAGGGAGGGACTTCTACACCTCTAGGGTAGTCTAGGGTCTGCAACCCTTTGCCAGCAAGGAGAAGTTTCAGAAAAACAGACCTTCAGCTCCGAAACCCTTAAGAATAAGGGGTGTAGAATCCCTTGGGAGAATAGGACTAGCTGGGACCTGGGACCCTTTGCTCCAGTGCTTGCACCTGGATAAACATCTTGAGCAACAGAATGCAAAGAAACTATAAAGGACTAAAAATAACTGCACACACGCACCCAAGTGGGGCAGGGGCAAATAACGAACCAGATACAAAAAGACCAAAAACCGGACTGCCACTTCTGAGGTGTCTGGAGCAAAAGCAGGGTACTACCCATGATCCCTGCACACAGCACCACCAGGGGAGTGGGCAGAGCGCTTAAGCCACCCCTATGGCTCCACCCATGGACTGGCTCCTACCTTCACCCCATTTAAGGGAACAGCTGGCCCTCCCCTGAGCCAGGGAGCAAGGGCACCTGGTGCTTGTTTTCACTCCCTTCTGCTGCAGTAGAAATCCCAATAAAGCCTTGCTGAATTTCTCATCAGGCCTTTCAACTTATATTGATTAAAGAGTCCAAAAACCTGGGTGGGTAACACTAGGACCAGTGGTTTTCTGCTGAGGCCATTTCAGCTTCAGCTGATAATGTGTTTATTGCATTAGTACAATAGGGCTGCCCCACCCCCACCAACGCCTGTTCACAGCTTTCTGCTCATTGCCCCAAGAGGTGGTCCTTCCCCCAAGGTGGGCATTCCGGGCACCTTCCCCCA